AAGGTGGGGGCATTTACCTAAACAAAGTGTATTTATTAAAATAACGTATAAACAGAATACACACACACACACATATATATATATATATATATATATATATATGCTAGCTATTTGTACTAGCAGTTATTAGATGTAAAATTATAGAATTCTATCTATTCAATAAAGGTTGGTGAAGTAATATAATGTTTTTGACATGTGTTTATAGTTGATAATATTGTCTCCAAATATTTTCCCCTAAAAGAATTATGTTCTTTTTGACTAATGCAACACTAATTAAAAAAGAAAATTACGAATTTATTGAATCCATTCCTAAAAAAACTAATGTATATTTTTATAAAACAAAAAGTATGTAATTAAAAATGTTCCAAAATTGACATCGAAAAACTCAGGCGTTTTTGCTCCAGAATAATCATTTAAATTGAATTGTTATATTTCTTTTTTCATAATAAAGGACACATTGCACAGTGGATAAAGGCGTTGGTTAGATCCAGTGACAGGCCCCAAAGAGTGTGAGTTCAATACCCGGTTAAGGCACTGGAGAACTTGGAGAAGGGAATTAACAGGAGATGACTGATAACTGACATCCATTAGACATGGCACGTGGAACTAGAACAGTCTAATCCAGTGAACGAAATAAAGGGTTCAGTCCGACATTCCAACCACCTGAAGAAGAACGGAGCGTACAACGGCCGAAACGTTGTAATAAATATGGCGACAAAGATGAGGACAATAGTCCGAAAAATGTAAATAGTGTACATAATACCTCATCTCAGAAATATAAACAGATACTGAAGGGTGATAAATATGGCGACAAAGATGAGGACAATAGTCCGAATACTGTAAATAGTGTACATAATACCTCATCTCAGAAATATAGACAGATACTGAAGTGTGATAAATATGGCAACAAAGATGACTACAATAGTCCGAATAATGTAAATAGTGTACATAATACCTCATCTCAGAAATATAGACAGATTCTGAAGGGTGATAAATATAGCAACAAAGATGAGGACAATAGTCCAAATAATGTGTAATAGTGTATAATAAGTAGTGTTTAAAAAACGCCTGATAATTATGCACCAACCCAATCCAATGTCTACGATACGTACGCACACATTTACGAATATATATTATCCTCTGAATCCCGCATAGACAAAGTGGAATTGCTATACACTTACATACAGATAGGTATATTTCTGATTTTTCAAGTAGGCTTGGAAATTCTTGAAACTTCGGATGAATGAGTCGTCTCCCCTTCAATTCGGAATGCCAAAAAATATACCAACGCTGGTTGAGTGAACGTGAAGCCTGATTAACCGATAAATATAAAACAACACAAAAGTAAAAAAAAAAAATACCAGAATTTATAAGAAAGTAAGGTTTTTTTTTAATTCTTGTGCATCTGGCTTCTTACTGAAACGTAACACATTTATATACACATAGACACATATGTGCAATTCTTGTTGATTTTGCCATCAGCATTATCTTATCTTACTTATTATTAAACGCAGATTTTGTGTGTGTGTGTGTGTGTGTGTGTGTGTGTGTGTGTGTGTGTGTGTGTGTGTGTGTGTGTGTACGTTTATATATTGGATCGGATTTCCTACATTTTTCAACCGATTTCAACAAAACTTCACAGGACTACGTAAAATTACCTTGCGGTGGTTCTGACAGCACCAAAAATTGGAAAACACAATTGTTTTTGCACGAAATCAATTTGAAAACACGATTAAGGAGCATCACGAGAATGAAAGGGGGACAACTCATATCAAGTTATACTTATTATAAAACCCAGTTTGTTTGTGTGTGACTGTTCGTTTATATATGGGATCGGATTTCCTACATTTTTCAACCGATTTCAACAAAACTTCACTTTTTTGGCAGGTAGTGTTTCTTATTGTCTTGCACACTTTTTTTCTTTATTTTTACATTCAGAATGCTTTGAAAATTCCATTTACAAGACAGTTGTTTATAATAAAATTCTATTCAATTGGTAGACTCATAACGATTGAAAACAATGTTTTTCTTTGAGTTTGGGTTTGACGAATTCGTAAAAAAAAAAAATTATTAAAACATGCGTGTCCGTCAACCTTAAACAATAATCTTTGTCAATTTTATTTTTCAGTCTTTATGATGGTCGATACTTGATCTATCTCTTACTGTTACACCCCCGGGCAACGCCGGGCTCTACTGCTAGTTATTATTACTATTACCGTTTTTTCTTGATGCCACGTTATCTTTCACATTCCATCAAAGAAGGAAACACTGAAACTATTTCTACACACACTCATAAATTTAATCCTTGTAAATTGACCCTTTTGTGATTGCCACTAATGTCCAACATAACTAAATCCCTGACACTTGTACAGCTTTGTTGTCATGAACTACTTAACACGTTTATTAGCCACATTCACTGATAATTTAGTTTCGACACTCCCAACTTTGCCAACAAAATTTAATGACTGTCAATTTTGGGCGCAAAAATTACTATGCCTCATAATGTGATCATAATGAAACAATCAGATTGCATTTTAAACAGACAGCAATTGGAGACACCTTTTTTTCTGCATAAAAGAGAAATAATTCTCCGACTACAGTCATATTCGAGGCATATCACGGCATAACCACATATCTCTCGATTTTCCTCGATCGAACATTTACCGTTGAAAATTTGCTATTTAAAAGCATTAATTTGGACTTTGCTAACAAGACGCTTCTCTATAGCTAAGTGGCATAGCACGTCAGATCAAACGAAGGTTCCGTGTTGGATTAATTAAAAAACAGAGCGTTGACTTAAATAAATTGTATTCATTAAAATAACATATAAAGAAAAAAATATAATATATATTTTTGTGATGTCATCGTAAATTCGTTGCCACTTTTGTAATACCAACGAATACTCGTTTGTCCCTTTCGTAATGCCCGTCGTAGTAGAGTCTTTGTAATCGCAGATACAACGATAGTAACGCCGTTGAACAATACTGGTGT